ATCCTACTATCTAATCATCGATGTACACAGGTCTCCCTGGTTATCGCAACTGGACTAAATCAGCAAGTAATCAGTTTACCTTTATAACAGTAGGTCTCCAGGTTCAGCGCGGACACCGACCGGGAGTTGCGGACAGAGGGCTTTGTTAAGCAATAGGTGAGTTAGCCACTACAACTTTAACTATTTCTTCAAATGATACCGCGGAAAATGTGCACGAGTCGTAATCGATAATATATTTTTTTCAGAAACCCTGTTGCGTAAAAAACTGAGAAGTGAAGTGACCACAAATTATGTTTGTACCGATGCAACCAATTAAGAGAAACATGATTTGTTAAAGGTATTTGTGTGTTTCTCAGGCATGAGTTGTTGGCAGGTGGACGACGCCTGGTCGTTGGATTAGTGTAATATGTGTAATCGGGATATTATAGTCGGGATATTATAGTACGTGCACAGGCCCGGCAGTTACCATAAGTAGCCTTGGCAGGTGACATCGAGTATGGTTATGAGTATGAAGCACGGTCGTTGGCTGCTGCACATCGTCGTAACTGCACAGTTCATGCTGTTGTCTCCAACAATTTTGTACTTAATGTAAGTTGAGATCCATGGGAAAATGTGTTGTGACCAGGTTTGCCGAACAATATATATTTTGCGATTATAGTTGCATACGGTAAATCTGAAGGTTATAAAGCAAATAAACGTCAACAATCGGTCCTCCATAGTCAAATTTCATTAGATATTCTTTAGATGTCTTTTTATTCTTAAAGAACACCGAAGAACGCCAAAATATTCTAAAAGTGCAATTTTGTGTTTTATATGGCGTTGTTCGGTAGGAAAATGAGAATAGGTGATGGTCCGTGACCTCGAAAGTTTGCTCAATTATACAAAATGCTATGAGCGAAATATCACCGAAAGGTGGATATGGATTAGATTGATTCCCCTTTAAAGCCACAGCTTCGAACACCCTATAGTCCTGGCGAAAATAATTTGGGCGTGCAAAGGGCCAGCGGCGGTAGACTCCTTGCCCTTTTCAAAAGTCAGTTGCACGCTGTAAACCCAGCCGTACGTTTTTTGATAAGATAAGGAGAGAGGTCGTGAATTTCGGGGAGGATCTCATGATTCTAAATTGGCCCAGAATGGATAATCGTTCGTGTGATTGATGAACAGAAAAGCATGAAGCTCATATTAGTGAAAACGAATATAAAGACGATAGAATGTAGCCATGAAAAATGTCGGCTACTCTTTGGAAGTCACTAGGAATAAAGTTTCCCGCTCAGGTTTTGTGAGGCAACAAAGTTGCAAAGTCTTTCGGGATTCCAGGGGAAAGAATGAAGAAGCTCAAGCGAGAAGATTGGAACAATGGTCAGAACTCCTACAGCTGCAAGTGACAATAGGGTAAACGCTATCAAGGAAATTTGGGCCAACTGCAGTGGTAGAACACACACAACACTCAACCAGGGAATGCCCAAAGCGTGGGTACCGCATGTGGGGGATCTCTAAAGGCTGGAACCATCTTTCGACGTCAAACTGCATGAGGAAGAGCAGAATGTCCATGGGAGGTTCGTGTCGAGACCAGGAGATCTCACTGAGTTTGAGGTCACCAACAAATAATTTATTTGAGTAATGTAGAGCTTGGATGTGAGAAAGAAGAGTAGAAAATTGGCCAATCGGACTATTGAGGTGCAGAGGAAGCATGCACAAACACTCGAAGATCAACGGAGTGTTGTCCCAAAGAGGAAAAAGCCGATCCAGAGTCTTGTGTTTCTGCCGGCGGTGAACCGTCAATATGTAGACGTCTGTGTCGCTTCTAGGGTATACGGGGCAGTTACAACCATAGTGGTTAACCAATCAGAACGAGAGATATTGCATTCCAGAAGGGAGATACACGCATCAGGCGCGCCGGAAGAGACATGTTTTGGTGATGCATATGAAGGTTGGACAAATTATGGCGGAGACATTGTAGGGCAGTTCAGGTCAAAGTGAATAGGTGTTGACTAGGTTGACGATCAGAGAACGCAGGTAGGATGGTTAGTGTTATGGCTGTCTGCTTTCTGAGTTTGAGTCACGCCTGCCAATCCAGGAAAACGACCAAGAAATGCGAATCCTGGAATCACGGGACTATCCCCTCCGTCTAATGAGTGGTGTCTAACCCTAGCCAACATGAAACAAGCTCATCCGCTTTTCTAATCCCTCCACTTCGTCATCCATGTTAGGGTTATCTGCTTTCTGAGTTTGAGTCACGCGTGCCAATCCAGGAAAACGACTAAGAAATCCTAATTCTGGAATCACGGTACTATTGCAAACATAATAATATACATATTCAACAAACCCCAACGGATTCCCCTCTGCAGATACCGTAGGTTTACAAAGATAGGGCGGTACAATTACCAGCCTGGGGATAAAGCGCAGATCACTACGCCTCAAAATCGATATTGTCACGACCAAACAGATATCGGCAGCGAGCAACCGCAAAAATCACAAAGTCCGACCAAAGTCCGTAAGGGTTATAAAAATAGTTCAGTAAAACAAGGAGGTTTCAGTTCATCTCGTCAAGGGGAATAAATATGGGGATTGGCTGTCACTTGGGGTTGGAAACCGGAGTATACTGTTGGCAAGCTGTCTTCTTCACCGCCACCCAAAATCCCAGTGGATTTTCCTCCATCTAGCTATGGTCATTCCTGGCTCAAATATTTTACTTACCCCAAGTTCCGAGTCGACTTACAGCAGTACGCCAAACGGAACTTGCTCACGCGCCAACTCCCAGTGGTCTCTCTGTACGCGATGAGTTCGAAAACCCGTTTCCCACCTGCGGAGAGTTGAGCGCCCGGTTCCCATCTCCTTCCACCACTCCCTACTCGCAACCCTCTATCAGACCGATCTTACGCACATCCCTCCTTAGCCTACCCTCACGTGTGCGTACGACTACGACTAACTAAACCGTCACCTGACGCTTCGCATTTATTCACATTCACGCCAACGGGACACTGTTTCCGAGAGAATGCACCTGATTGCACCATGACTACATCCCCTTTCCTAAAGTTCCTTCTGCCACTTAGTTCGCCCCTGAAGCAGAGGTACGTACTCCTTCATCCAGCGCTTCCAAAATACTTGAGTTAAGTAGTTCACCTGCTGCCAACCTCTTGGAACCTCTCTGTTATACTTTTCGGCACAACTCCGTGTACCCTGTTGTTGAGAATGAGCAAGTCAGTGCTAGCTTGTCGAAATAGTTGGTTTGATTGGGCACAATAGGGCGTTTATTCATTACCCGCTCTGTCTCCGTAAGAAACGTTACTAGTTCTTCGTCGTTCACCTTCTGCTCATTTACTGACGACTTTGTTATCCGTCTTACGGAACGTAAGAGACGGTTCCATACTTCGCCTCTACGGCTGCTCAACGGTGGAGTAAACTGCCACTCGACGTTATACCGCATTAGTTCAGCGCTGATGTGGGTATGTGAAAGTCGATCTATGGCTCGTTTCAATTCCTTCTCCGCCTCAACGAAATTAGAACCGTTGTCACTGATAATCTTTTCTGAGGCTCCCTTTCGCGCTATAAAACGCATCAACGTCTTAATGAAGGAGTCAGAAGATAATGAATAGGCTATTTCAAGGTGCACTGCCCTCATCTGTAAGCAGGTAAACAAACAACCGTACCTTTTCCCAGTCCTTCTCCCATTCTTAACTGTCAGTGTTCCAAAGTAGTCACACCCAACTATCTTGAAGGGATGCCAGTCTGGCTGGATCCTGCCAATCGGAGGTGGTGCCATAGCTTGTCGTGAAGCCGTTGTAAGGTTACCTTGAAACGTCCAGCAACTGTGGAGCACCCGCTTAGTCATCGATATTCCCTGAACGACCCAATATCTTTGGCGCAGTTCGGCTAACGTATGCGATAGTCCACAGTGCCCATTCAGCACGTGAGCGTTCAAACTATCAACCTGGTGACGTTATGCTTCGAGGGGAATATGATAGGACGTTTAGCAACATGCGGCCAGACGATAATTATCGGGAAGTCTTTCCGCCGTTCTCCACGGTAATGGTACTTTGTAGTGACCATCCTTGAATACTGACAATGATAATGATAATGTTTATTCCCGACTTGTGGGTGGCATTAATAATAATAATAGGTTTCTTTCGCAGCTTGTAGGGAACAATGGGCATGAGGCCCGACTAATTCAAAGACTCAGTCGGCTGACATGGACTAAAACTGGGAAACCATTGCTGGCCATGTGTGACCTTGGGCGGTTGGGTGAATGGCCGGAGTCATAACAAGCAAAAGTGGAGGTGGAGGTAGGATAATTTGAATTGGGAGAACACGGCAAGTTTAGTCTCAAAAGTATGGTGCAATCTGAGAATAAGCAGACTCAGTGGTTGCTTTGTTACTGGGAAGTCAGGTGAAGGGGTTAGGTTGGATGGAGACACAGAGGTGGTTGAATTTGAACGAGTAGTCCAATAGGTTGGAACGAATGTCATGGTGGTCGTTGGGGTCAGTGAAACGAGTAGGCAAGAGGGCACGGCTGAGAGAAGGAATGGAACAGTTGCGGGTGTGCTATCAAACTGAGTGTGGCAGTGCCGTGCCATTATTGGCCAGGCATGCTTTAGTTTTTGGACAGCCCCGTGACGGACGTCACATTTGAGATGATTCGACCTGGGTATGCAGTTCATTGAGCAGCGGTATTCATTTCAGCCTGGCCGAGGAAACAAGGTGGAACGAAACCGATTCAATGATTCGAAGCGCTTCTTTGTCCTCGACACTTTGGCATAGGCCCGGAGCCTCCAACTCATTGAAATCAGCCTCATACAGAGCCTTTAGATGAGCACTGATGTCAGCATCGTTTATACTTACGTGGTACACATGTCTCCAGACTCTATGCCCTATGGATAACGGACCAATCAGAACCCAACCCAAAGGTGTCTTACAGCGCGAGGTTCTTTTGCTCGCCTAACCTCTTCTCCATAGGCCAATGTGCCACTGGAAAATCTTCTTCCATCAATATTCTCACACGCTTATTTGGAAGCTCCAAAAAAGGTTGTATCCTTCAAGTGATTATATTGACCAGCTATCTCCGTTGGGCTGATGACTGGTGGGCTAATGGGCAGAGAGCGTATTGCAAAGGCTTGTTCAGCCGCTACGGTCTTACCTGAATCTGCCGATTCAAACTCGATTCTGAGACATGCAGCCTCCACAGTGAAGGTCCCACTCACTGTAGGTACAACGCCAAGGCAGGTTCCTGATTCCGTCTGAGATGTGGAGTTGCACAAACCAACCAGCTTGGTTTTGTTGGCATCTGGCACTACATGCAACAGATGATGGCTAGACCACAAGCACCTCTCTATACCACACTTCTTAGGAGAATCGCACTCGTTACTGGCATGGCCTGGTTTTAGGCATACAAAACATAACCGCTTCCTTCTCACCA